TTTAGCGCCCAAGTCACGCACCGAGTGCGCGAGAGCGTCACGCGCTGGCACATTCAGGGCAACAATGTATGTCTTCACCCTGAGACAGACAGACATGTAGGCACCCTAGTTGTTGTCCCCACAGCCCGGTGTTCACTAACGCAGCATAACAAAGAAATTGAACCTCGTCATGCACGGCCTGGACACGAGCGCTTCGCTCTGACCAAGGCTGACCTTCGAATCGTCATCTTCGATATCGCTGATCAAAAACAAACAAGAAAATTCGGTTTTTTGCCCCCACAGCTGAAGCGTGCCGCTAGAGGCGCGACTGTTCGATCTCCTCCCCATATTATCACGCGCTCTCATGAATTTGACTGCGTAACCACAGAAAGTTGTTCACAGTTATGGACGGGAAAAACAGGGCACATCATTTGTGTGTCTTGCGTTTATGACTCTTAATATCTTGGTACCTAGAATATTCAGCAACAAGAAATTCCACAGGGTGGTTTCTACGTAAAATCAGGCTAAGATAAGTGAGGTCAGTATTTTTATTTCTCTCACAGGTATTTTCGGAAAATTTTTGTCAACAAGCATACTCTAAAGACGAAAGGGAGATAAATGAAAAAAACATTTGATTTTCCTCCTTGTCGCCAATGGAAGAGGAGGAAATTTCTCCCGTTCCACCATTTCACCAATTCACATGCAGCACCGTCTGGTGGCGCTTGTCTGGTGGCGCTTGTAGGGTGCCTACATGTCTGTCTGTCTCAGGGTGAAGACATCCATTGTTGCCCTGAGTGTGCCAGCGCGTGACGCTCTCGCGCACTCGGTGCGTGACTTGGGCGGCAAAATGGCGTCTATGCATTACCCAAAGCTACGCGCTCGAGCTGAGTGACACCAGATTGTGCGCGCTTCAGAATGCATAAAAAAAGATTGGGCGGAAAAATGGCTGAGATGTCACCACTCAAGCAAAAGCGCGCGTGTGTATGAAGGCACTCTAGGCGCTTGAAGAAGGGACATGTTCAATGGCGGTGACGGCCACTTGAGTGCTTGGTTTCTTTTTACACACTTAGAACTATTAGAAATGTGCGTCAAATTTAGTTAGCATTAATAAAAACTGTGTTCATTGCTCTCGCACTATGTTGCAGTCTATCATGTGCATTACAACAATGTCTTAGCAGCTCGTTCTGGTTCTCCCGCTAAGCTATATGCTAGTAGAGCGACCCGTCTACTGCACATGCGCGGTGCTAGCGGAGAAATAGCGAAGCTGCAAAGGCTAGCGGAGGCAACGCTAGTTTAACAAAAAATAGCGAGGCACGTAGCACGGCGTGCTAGCTTTTGCCTTGCGAGAATCACGCCATATGTGCCCGCTGCGAGATTGCGCTTGTCTATGGTGGATGAAACCATGCTGCTGCGAGAAGTAGCCGCGGCTAATTCATTCCAGCGCAGTTTTGCGCTCGCGGTCCTGTTTCCGGTGGCCGAGGGGCGCGATGCACGTCCGCCATACTTCTTTCCATCCTGCGAGGGAGGCGAGGCGTAGGTTCGGGCCTCGACCACGCGGGGGCAGGAGCGCTGGCTCAAAGATGCGCTCCGATCGGATAACCGAAACGTAAAAACACTCTAAAATCGAGTGTTTTTTTTTTTTTGGAACGTCGTACTATGTTATACCTGTCTTATACCTTTCTAAAATTAGTTGATTGGGTGGTTTTCAATAATGCTTGGCAAGTTTATTTTATCTAATGAAACATTTAATGAGCAAATGTTCATTAATTACTTTCCTAAAAAAGTTAGATTTTTCGTTGGTTTTTTGTTGTTTTCTTGCAATCATTGGCGTCCGCTGTCGATGGCATGTTCATGTAGAGAGTTTCTTTTTTTTTTTTTCTCAACCACTCTATTTTTAGTGCGCTTTGAAAGTCTCCGCTGGAACTCTCGATGTATAATGTTTTTGAGTATGCTTACCTGCAAGCAATGTATAGTCAGATACAACATACGAAAGACAGTGCGGAGGGGAAGAGGGTGGAAAATAGGAGAGCTGAAGTGGAGAGGAGCGACTTCGTTTCCGCAACTTTTCTCGTGCGCGCCCTTTGACCCCTCGCACTGTTTCTCTTTGTTTGTATATGACTATTCGTGACATCAACTCCAACGAAACGTAGGTGGCGCCACTCGTTTTTCAAAATGGCGGTTATAGTGAGGGTCGGAGATGCGTGCTGGGTGAGAAAGCCGTGTCAGGACGAAACATTCGGCGGTCTGTCTGGGCCCGATCGGTGGTTCACGCGACGGAGGCATTGCGCCGCTGACAACATCAACTGTGGGTGATGCTATCAAATATGCTACTATCAAAATCGCGACTTCTGATAATCGGCAAAACTTCCGAATTCTCCCCCCCCCCCCCCCCCCCCCCAATCACCGATTCTTCCAAAACAAATGCCCCTGAATACAATAAAAAAAAAATAGTTTGCAAAACTTTTTAGAGCCCTTTATTATTATTATTTTTTTTTTTTATGCGCCGTCGTTTTGCCCACCTCATGCATTCCAGTTTGAAGGAGCTAGCGCCTACCCGCTTGCACGTCTGCTCACTGCAGCACGTTTCATTTGCGTTGGAAAACCGGTGAAACAGTAGTGAGTTCTGGTATTGCGTATACGAGCAAACGCAAGCAGTGTGTTAACGTTAGCGTTGTATGTTCCACACTGCGCATACGCGGGGTCCAAAATTGCGGTCTTGAGTTGGCGCATGGCAACGATGCGCAGCGTTGAGCACGCAACGCAAACGCACAGCGTTTGCCGTTTGCTTCTATTCGCAAAACTAAAACTCTCTAACAGGGTACAATCCCATAGCGGCTGCCGCACTACATTGGAATAATAAGGAGTGTGGTTTGCATTCAGAAATGAATTTTGGCGAGCAATGATGACGGGCAGTTCCGCCGTGCCCGCTGAGCAGGAAAAGCGGGGAACCCTCACAAGAGCGCTTTCCGTTTCCGCCGCGAGAGGGCGAGCAACGAGCTGGAGGCACGAATAGTGTCCATAAGGTTTGGCCGTCGTTGTTGTTCTTCATCCTCTCACGTTTGTTTATAAACTCATCTGTGCAGTGGGAAGTAACGACATTCCGGTACCTTCCTTACAGGGAGGTATACACCTCGTAAGCAGTGATAGATTGCATACGAGCTGGTAATAAATCGACATCTTGTAGACTCTGAGATGGGGAACAATAAAAGAAAACGGTCGTAGACAACGAAATCTCTTGGATGTTTGTTGTATACGTGTTTTTTTTTTTTCTTTTTTTTTTTATTGTTCCCCATTTCAGGGTCGACAAGATGTCGTATATACCTCAACGTTCCAGCTAGCTTTCGTGAGCACGGCTGCGCTTCCCGTGAGTGCTTAAAATTAAGACCACTTTCATGCAGAAGAAATATACATGAACTTCCCGTAACCACACCGGTCTAGGCGATAGCGTTACCGAAAATAAAGCTATCTAAGGATGTGTGTGGTACAATCAGACATTATTACTCCAAAATAACCACTAATGACCAAAAAGAAAAAAAAAACGAAGTTTAGAATTTTTTGAATAAACCTCTCGTGCAGCCGTAAGATAGAAACTAAATTTCAAAGTTGACGAGTTCGCGAACTTTCTCTCACTGTAATGCAGGCGATAACCTCGAATATCTACCACAGAAATCAAACACCATATGATGAGGTACGTTCAGAAGTATAGTGCAGTACTGTGTAAACATAATCAACTGATTGTAGTTGATTTTTTTTTTTTTTCAATTTTGGGAGACAAAATAACATAACGTAAAATTGCAACGCATAAATGTTACGTCTACTGGGAGAATGAATTCTTTACATATTTTAGCGCGTGCTGTCACCTAGAGTGGTGGTCAATGTTGTTGTTTTTTTCTCTCGCATAACTTTACATTAATAACGCCACTGCATAAATTTGTTTATAAGGTGCGTGCGCAAATAGCGATTTGAATGGAATAGAAATGCATAATTCTTAGCCTTCGCAGTGCAAATGAAAGTCACGACACACGGACTCTCCTCAAGATTGCAACGAAGGATTGCACTGCGACTCTATTCGAATCAGTACTCGCATACCCGTAGCGTTTAAGCGTATCGCCTGCCTAAGTTGTACTACCATATACTCACCCGAACAGATACCCTAAAAAGGTTCACGCGTCCAAGTGGTCTAATAATTAGATAACTCAAAATTAACCTCAGTAATGCAATACTAGGAGACCATAATAACTTGGGGGGGGGGAGGGGGGGCAATGATAGCTTATCATTGGTGCCTTACGGCAAGCGTGGGTCGCAAATTCAAAATAAAGACGTCGTATCAATCAATCAATCAATTAATCATGACCGTGGCTTTTCTTATAGGGGGAAACCAGTGTACTTCACAGCCAGGACAATATGTTTTGGTAAATTGTTTTCGATAACTCCAATAATAATACCCTGTACTCCGTCAATGCCTTTGCGCACGCATCATGTGACGCGATCAATATTTGATCGCGTTTTAATAACGAAGCGAAGCACGCTCTCATTGTACCAGGCTTCCGTATTACACATCCAAGGGCGGACTTACCAATGGGCAGATATTTGGCCGCCCCAAAAAGTCTGCCTAGGGTGGCAGATTTGGGGGGAGGAGGGGTTGGGGGCGGCTTATTTGTGGCCGCCCCAAAATTAATTGGCGTTTTTTTTTTTTTTATTTGGTATCTAGCTCCGATTTTACCATCTTTGGAAATTTTAGCTCCCAATTTAGCTACTTTTGCAATGTTTATCTCCAAACTTAGCTACTTACCCCCCCCCCCCCCCCCCCCCTTCCCCTTATGGTCACTGACCATGGGGAGCGAGGTTTGGGGGGGGGGGGGGGGGGCGCTATTAGAGGCTGCCAAAAGCGGCAAAATGCCAAGTCCGCCTCTGCCCACAGCACACTTCGTTTGACGCGTGGTACTCGTTTCTAAATGAGTCCCAAACTGGGAGCAGCATGCAAGGACAACATAATAAGGCGTCAATCGCTGTGCTTTTCGAAACAATATTTATCAGACCATCTTTTTTGTTTAATTACAACTGTGAGAAAAATGATTGCGAAACACGGCAGAACAGCTGGACTGCATCATCTCTCGAGGGAGGGCCCTCCGACTGCGGCTGCAATCGAGGAGGGGCTTTTCTTGGCGTCCTCTGGGCCCGCTTTTGTTTTGTACACTGCAGTTTAGCGCCGCCGCCACTGATTACATATTAGTGCTCTTCCTCACTCCAACAAAATTCTACCACACACACACTCGCGCAACTTTACCGGCAAACAAGGGTCTTCTCCTTGCCCCTCTTTACGAGTTCCTCGATCGGCCGCGAGCGTCGTTGCCGACGCCGGTCTTGGGCTCTGCACAGAAGACATTCCTCGACGTCCCAGGGAGGGCCGGCGGCGCTACGAACGCCAGACCACCGCCGCGCACTGTGGCTCTTGGCTGCGGGCCACCGTGCTGCGGGCCGCACTGCGAGTCGCCAATCGTCTTTGGGATAGAAAAAAGAGCCGCCGCGGTGCGGGTCGCGGGCGGGGTCACCGCGTGACGCGTCTGTCATGGGTCCGCGACACGAAACGGCACAGATCACGCGGGCACACGCGCTCGCGCACGACTCGAACGTCCCGCGGTGGTGGCGGAAATATATTATTTTGGAGAATGTCCTGACTAGCGTGGACGCCCTCCAGAGAGCGCGTGTGCGTGTTCGGCGGAGCGCTCAGAGCGTGGCCGCGGCGGCGGCGCGGGCCGCCAGCGGCATCTCCTCGGCGCCGTGGCCGAGCGGCAGGTCTCGCGGTGAGGCGGGCGTCCAGGAAGCGTTCTCCTTGGCGCCCAGCGAGGACTCGGGCGTGTTGCAGCCGCTCTGCTGTGACGACTCCTCGGCAAACGAGGGCGGCGTCGAGGGTCGACCGTCCTCGTCGTCATCTTCGTCGTCGTCGTCCACGTCGTTGTGCGCCCTGGGCCGCCCGGCGGCGTCCGGCGGCCTCGCCGTGGTCACCTTGCCCATGAAGCTGCGGATCTCGTCAAAGTAGGCGTCGTCCTTGCGCGGCGAGCGGTCCACAAGGGCCGGACCATCGGCCTCGTGCTTCTTGAGGTGCCTGTCCAGGTTGGTCTGCTGGCCGAAGCAGCGATCACACAGCGGGCACTTGAACGGCTTCTCCTTGTTGTGGATGTTGCGCACGTGGCGCTGCAGGTTCGACGAGATGCTGAAAGACCGCTCGCAGTACTTGCACTTGTACGGCTGCTCGCCCGTGTGCGTGCGGAGATGCCGCGTCAGGTTGGCCGAGCGCGGGAACACCTTGCCGCAGAACTTGCACGAGTAGCGTTCCTTGGGGCGGGACTCTGCCAGCAGCGCACCCTTGGCGGCCTGCTGCTGCTGTTGCTGCAGCTGAAGTTGGAGCTGCTGCTGAAGCCGCTGCTGCTGCGGTGGCGAGTCGAGCCCGGCCTGGGCGCGCATCAGCTCCAGCGAGGCCCCCAGGAGCGGGCTGAGGAACGAGAACCGCGGCGGGAAGCCCATGAGCCGGTCGGGCCCCGGGAAGTGCAGACCGAGCGGCAGCTTGTCCTGCCGGTACAGGGAGTCGAAGAAGAGGCCCGGCGGGATGGGCCGGGGGGTAGGCCATCGCCTGGAGGCGCCCCGCCAGCAGCGGCGGGGGCGCCGAGGGCTGGACCGCTGGCTGCGCGGGCTGGACGGCCTTTCGGCAGACCCGCAGGTCCAGCGGCTCGTCGACCTGATGTCGGTCTCGCTGGACGCGCGACTGGAACTCGGGCGAGTCCTCGGCGATCTTGTGGTGGGATAGGTCGCAGGGCGCCTCCGGCGAGCGGCAGCCGGACGGCGCGGCGCCCTGGAGCGACTCCGGGCAGACTGCGCCCTGGCGGGGCGAGCCCCGGCCCTGCGGCAGGCTCCGCACGGACTGCGGCAGGTCCATCGGGCGTCGGGGCGGCGGTGGCGCGGCCGAGTCCGAGTCCGAGCTGAAGGGCTCGGCGTCGCTGTCCAGGCTGCTCGGCTCGTCGGTGGCCTCGGAGCCCGAAGAGCGCCGGGGCGAGCCCTGGGGCCTGGCGGTCCTGACCTGGGGCCTGAGCTGCGGCGGGAAGCCCACCGAATGCGGGAAGAGCAGCTGGAGCGGCGTGGTGGCGGCGGACGCGCTCATGGGCTCCGGCGGCGAGCGGCCGCCGGGCGATCCGCAGAAGCGCTTGTGCTTGGACAGTGAGGTGACCGTGGCGAAGCCCTGGCCGCAGCGGTGGCACTTGATCTGCATGCGGCAGGTGGCATGCATGCGCTTGTGGCGGCACAGGTTGGAGAACTGCGTGTACGCCTTGAGGCAGACCTCGCAGCGGAACGGCTTGACGCTGCTGTGGATGTGCGTGTGCTGCTTGAGTCCGCTGGAGGTGGCGAACGTCTTGCCGCACTCCGGGCAGGCGTGCGAGCGGGCCCCGAGGTGCTGGGAGCGCACGTGACGCTGCAGGTTCGACGGGTCCGTGAAGACCTTGCGGCAGCTGTCACACACGTAGCGCCGGGACGCGTCGTGGGCCGCCTGGTGCCGGATCAGGTTGCTCTTCCAGCTGAACACCTTGGGGCACTGCTCGCACCGGTACTCACGCGCGGGGCACCGGGTCACGTGCTCGCCCAACCTGCGAGCAGAGAACACATTCAAGACACCTCCCACAGTCCTTCTGCGTGGACCGCTAGCATAACACAAGGAACATGGCATTAATGAGAATACTTTTCATGTGCAATGAATATTCATAACTTTTCTAGCCATCCGTATGTAAGAAATTACATGTAGGAGCAGCTGATTTAGTAAGCGAAGTACAGATCTATGGATGCTACGCAGAAGTTTCTCTGTTACTTTGATTGCCCTTGCCATCATATTTGTATAACAGTAAGGATGAGGCAAACTGCATTTATGCAGCTTTTTCCTCGGTCTCCTTCCATCATGGATGTGATGGAGAAATAAACATTTATTTATTTATTTAAACTGAGGGGTGCATTGCTATTCACATTCAATAGTCTCCAAATCGACATTTTGCAAATAGATTCTATTATAAGGGTATACAAAAACCAGGTCGTGAAGTTTGCCATACGAATATGATATAATATGTTACGAAAGTGAAAAGTAACGTTCCCAGTGAATATAAATTCGGTGCAATTATGTTTCTTACTAGATGATGGCGAGAGCAATTCCATTTTATTTCTGTAGATCTAAAGAAGTCCGTTCCCCATCAGACGCGCCTCCAAAGTATAATATAACCACGTCTGGAACCTCAATGCGAATGCAGACGGCGAAGGCGTGCGTCTCGGAGGCGACGGACAAAGAGCTCGCCGAGGCCAGCGAGGAATAGTGGCGATTGTCATCATCACGAAACATTATGGGTCGGATCATCGCCGGAGATGGACAGAGCAGTGGCGAAGGTTAGGCGCTTCCGACGCCGGTGTTGGCCATCCACCGACGCCTCATCGACGCTAATGTTGTCTCGGCTTCGTCCGACAACTTGATTGTTTCTCTGACCCAGAAAGCGGAGAAGATACGAGGAACATCCCGTAGGCCGATGATACTCCGCGATGGTGGTCGCAGTTTGAGAGAAATTAGAGATTAAAGTCGGGAAGGCTGACAATTGAGCCCAAGGCGAAGTATAACGCGTCTCGGGTGTTACTCGGTAACGTGTTCACGCTCTTCTAGTGCAACGTAGTGTGCAGACGATTGAGTCAAATCAAAACGAACATACGAAAAATCGTATAGTACCTCGTTTATTTCCAACAAATTCAAACGCGTACCTCATGGTTTTGTTTGTTTTTGTTTTTTGTAAACGGGTTCGTTTAGTACGGTTTATAATTTGTTGCAGACCTGGTTTGCCTTGCAACCTTCCACTCGACGATGGCGCTGCATACTCGGCAAAATAGCAACTGAAGGTATGCAAGAACTCGTCAAAGTTCTCAAAGCTCTCGCCTTTCCTCCTCCTTCCTCTTCTCTCCCTCTCCCTCCCTCTCCCCCCGCCTTTCCCATAAATTATAACGATTAGGACGAAGGTGTGTACGCGCGGATACGTTTTGAGAGTGGCTATCCTGAACCACATGATACCATTCACGCAATTGGCGACTCCAACGGAACCCATTTAAAATCCTCGTTCCACTGTTTCACGTTTTCGCCACCAGGCCGCGGAAGTTTCTTTCGCTGCACACTTCGAACAGGGGCCAGCTCCCCGTTTCTGAAAGTCACGTCTTCGTCGCTGGCTGGCGTCGTGTACCCTGGAGTTGCGAATGAGGCAGCAACATTACGTTTGCAAGTCCGGCTTCAGGGCGCCGCCATCTTGCTCGCTGGGGTGCGCTTGGACGCGTCCTAATACGATTACGAAGCCTTGCTAAGGCGTCATAATCGGATTATGGCCGCGACCAAGCGCACCCCACAGGGCAAGATGGCGGCGCCCTGAGACCGCACTTGCAAACGTGTATACAGGAGGTGCTTAATTGCTTTCTCGAGCTCGTTTTAGACGAAGCTCGGTGTTTGCTCAACACAACGCCCGTGGACTAGATTATTCATCGTCAATCTCCTTGATCGAACGCGTGCTCAGCTTGGACACCAGCGCCGCGTCAGCGTTCGTCTACGTCAGCCCAGCGCTGCGTCAGAAACACAGACAAACAATTCACGCGGTTGTTGTCCCCATTAATTTATTTCTCAAGTTAGCCGCTAGGGGCGCCACGGTTGGGTCTCCTCTCCATTACCATCACGCGTGTTTGTGCTGCAAAGAATGTTGCTGCCACTCGCAAGGAGCATAAAGTGCTTCTTTTGTATCTCTATAAAATAAAAAGGGAATTTTACCATGGACAACAGAAGGGCGGGCAAAGAAAACACGGAATCCGTGCTCGCACCCAATTTTTTTCTTCTTTTTTCTCTCGGAAAGCGTTGCCTAGCCCGGGTCGTCCTTCGCGAAGGCAGCGGCGGCCCGTGCTCCGGCGATAAACGGACGTCAGAGTGACCGGTCGTCGTGACGCCCCGCCGAGGTGGCTCCCGAAAGCGTCACTTTCCGATGCACTTTCTCCGGCGGGGCGTCAACGCGCAGAGCGCGGAAAAGAACCGTTTCAAGGACGTTCTCACCCCGGCCGAGCGGCGAGGCGTGCCCGGCTCTTGGGCATCGGCTCTCGCCTCTCCTCGCGTCCGAGGGACAGCGCGCTCGCGCGTTATTATGCCGCTCAAAATCGTGTCAGCTGAGCGAAATGTGATTGTGGTCTGAAAATCTTTCGAACGCCACGAAAGCCTAAATTGAAAAAAAGAAAAGCAGGAAGAAAGAGGGTTAGTAAAAAATAACAAAGAAAGAGGTGAAATTGGGAGCAGCACAAGCAGAGCGTTGAGAATCGATGCGAGAGAGCCCCGAGGCGTGTTGACCGGCATTGTGCGTTCTTTCACACGCAGTTTAGCGGCGGAGGGAACAGAGGAGTAATCACGGGAAGCCGATGGAAACGGCACGATTGGAAAATAATTTGCATAACGTCGTCGTCGGCGGCGTCGTCGTGCGAACATGCACCGGACTTTGGGGGAGCAACAATTAGAGCGGACTTCATTTCCCCCGAAAAGCGTCCGCAAGTTTTTCTTTTTCTTTTTTTTTTTCTTTCCTCGCTAAGCGCACCATCCTAGCTATCGTATTTAGTCTTTCGATTTCGTGTACCTTCGCCAAAAAGACGAGGCGGCAGTATTCTCGTTGTTGTTGCGGTTGTTGAGAGAATGCGAGAGGAAAATGGATAAAGCTCCGTCCACCGCATCGGAGGGAAAACGTTATCCGATGTTTCGTTTCCTCACAACGTTTTCCTGCAATCAACGACGAAATTAATATTTAAATCCTCTCGCAATAAGAGATCTAAAAATATTAAGATTTAAAAAAAAAATTCTCTCGTTGGTCTAGATTCTAGAAATAGAAATGAGAGACGAGTCCTCGTCAGGCTGTAGAAACGTCGTGAAAGTCACGGACAGAGCACACAGTCATTCTCAAAGTTGGAAGCCAAAGACACCAAGTTTCTTAAAGTCACTGGAGCACCCGCGTGTGCGCAGCAGCACAAATGTTTTGTGAACGTCCCCAGGACATGCCTGGGACGTCAGGACATCCTAAAGATGTTCACGGGACGAAGTGCTACTAGGGTGGGGAATATTATATCTAAAAGACGGATAATCCGCTACGCGTGAACAGGTATGTACAATTATTTCAAGCCGCGGAAACGCCGTTAAAACATCGTGCGAAAGACAGCGTTGTAGACATCGCCCCAGGCGGGCTTCTTCCTCGTATGACGGCGGTCTTGACGCGTAGGTCATTCAAAGGCTGTCTTCAGACGTGCTCGAGGCATCTACGAAGCCGACGTGCTTCGAATCTGCTTGGGGCCTGCCCGAGCATAATTCTTCCATCGTGTATGCAGCGAATGCCGTGTGTCTTTTGGATGACGTTTGAGCGGCATGATGACTGCGGTTTGAGGGTGTTCATCGTGCTAAATTATATAAAAAAAAAAAAGAAGCAAGAAAGTGTAATTTGGAAGAGATTTAAAACACCAGACATAAAAAAAAGACGAAAACAAAACAAAAACATTTCTGCGCACTTTTGTTTCACTCGCGAATAGAAAGCAGAATTTGCCACCGACACACCCTGAGAGGAAGTATGTACGCTAACAGGCAGTTTGAAATGGTAGGCAGCGGTAGCTCAGTGAAAAAAATACTGGCTAAAATAGGTCTATTGTACCAATAACTAGACAAAAAGAATATTTTTTTTTTTTTTGTTGTTAATCGACTTTTGATTTGCTGAGGTCCACAATGCGGTACCACGGCTTCCTTCCTCACCGCGCTTCCCAAAGAATCGTGGTGCCGAATTCCGGTCCACAATCCGGGAGGGTCCTGGTGCGTGAAACAAGCGCCCTTCGCGGAAGTGTGGGAGCGACTTTTTTATCGCTCTCGGAAACGCGTGTCAGCGAGCGAGCGAACGCGAGGTAAGGAGCGGGTCAAGCCGCGCAGATTAACCGCCTTATCGGCCGACATGGAGCCCCTTTCGAATCGATCAGGCATCGGCGCACTCGTAACGACCTCCAAAAAGAGCCGCGAATGCCGCCCGAGGACAAAGCATCGTTTGGGAGGGAGGAGGGAGCTTATTCGGAGCAGGGAGGAGCAACTTCCGGCCCCTCCACGGGGAAAGTGAGGACTTCTTTCCTCTTAAAAGCGAGCAGCGCCAGTAGCGGCAGGGCAGCACGAGCGCAAATTGAAGGAGGGGGTGTTAGAAGAGCACGCGTGCGCTCGCCGTCGTCGTTGTTGATGCTGCTGTGGCACACGGCCACCGGTTCTTTTCTTTTTCTTTTGTTGTTGGTTGTTGTTATTCTTCTTCCTCGAGTAGAGCGCATTGTGTGGGGCCAGGCATCGAGAATGCAGGAAGAAATCGTCGCGCACCGAAAGCGCGGCTCTTCTTGCCCGTGTCTCCCTGGGCTTCCTCATTGCGTCGTCGCCTCGCTGCTGCTACTGCCGCGGCGGCTTCCAAATCCTCCGGCTACGTTCAATTTTAATCTCGCTACCATCTGTTCCGAGGAGCGAGCAGCGACAAAGAAAGGAGGCAAAAATGAGAGCGAACCGCGCCTCTTCTTTTGGCCGCCTCCGTCTACGCAAATGCCT